TGTCCTATTAATCAGCTGTGAAACTATCTCATTCATATTTATTTCTCAATAAAAATAAATTTAAAAAAACACTTGACACTATACTTAAGAGTAAATGTAAAAAAATAAAAAATAAAAATGTTGTTTATCCTTTTTTAAAAAAAAGAAAAATTGGGCTGGGGAGATGGCTCAGTAGAATAAGCACTTGCCTGGCAAGGGCCTGAGTTCAATCCCCGGTTCCGCCAAAAAAAAAAAAAAAAAAAGAAAAATTGCTTATCTTGAGGGCTGAGTTTCTGTTACCCCTTAGAGTCTAGATTTCAAGTGAAAATTCATTTGTTGGATCCCAGGCAGAATTAAACTCCCCTTAAGAGCCTATAACCCACTCTACCTGGCTCAGGTGACAGCTGCCTGGATAATGTGTCCTCCTCAGCCCCTGCCTTCAGGCTGTGAGCACCTTCAAGGTAGGAAGGCTCCCACTCAACTCAGAATCCCACAACCCTAACCACTACCCCACCACCCCACCACCCCACCACCCCCAAGTCCCAAGCCTTACACTGGTGGTCGATGAGAAGGGTGGCGGTGAAGTAATGGGCCAGAGCTGTGTAGTGGTGGGCCTTCACGCAAGCCAGGCTGGCCCAGGAGTAGGGGATGTTCTCTTTAACGGGTTCCTGGCTCGTGGCCATGTGCAGCTGTCGGTAGACCTCTCCCACCTGAAAGAGAAGGGGCCACGGGAATGAGCCCAGCACATGGGGTGCAGAAACAGAGCCCTTCCAGGCAGCAGCCCCTGCTGGAGAACCCTCCAGAATCCGGGCACCACGCCAAGCGACTCCTCGTGCTGCCAGTGTCAGAGTTAACTGGGCAATCAGGCACCTGTCATTAGGCTGGATTTTAGGCTAAGCCGCAGATGGAATCAATGATCCGTATCTGCTACTTGCCACGATGTGAGCCGGCAGCCTCAGCTAGGGTGGGCACACCACCCACGTGACAGGCAAGCTGTCACCGTGGGAAACCTCCTTGCTACTCCCAGGATACCTCTGCCCCTTCCTGGAAGTCCCAGGAATTAGGAAGCCTCACCTTGGCAGCCTCCTGCGCCACCTTCACCAGCACGAAGAACTCATTCCGGATCCCGGGGAGGATTATTTTCTCAAATATACTTTCTTGGGCCTGAGCAAGCATCATTCTGACCAGCACGCTGAGCATGGCGGGACTCATGTCGTAACTCGGAGTATGAGTGAATGTCTCTTTCAGGTAGTTTAAAACCCCTACAGGTACAAGTTTTTTGTTCATTAGTTGAGGACCGTGTGTATTTCACTAGGCTGCTACGGAGAATGACAGAAGTAATATAAAGCTGGGGCTATAGCTCAGTTGTAGAACCCTTGGCTAGCCTGAGTAAGGCCCTAGGTTTGAACTGCAATACTGCAAAATAAAAATATATATGCATATGATATCCTACAAGATCTTTAAAAATGTGATTCTGGGCCAGCCATGGTGTTGCGTATCTACTATCTCAGCACTGGGGAAGCTGAAGAAAGAGGATCATTGAGAGTTCGAGACCAGCCTGGGCTACAAAGTGAGCTTAAGGCCAGCCTGAACTGTATAGTAAGACCCTGTCTCAAAAAGACCAAAAGAAAACCAAAACAAAACAAAAAACTCCACATGATTCTGAAATACTATTTTACCCAGCAACTGCACTCCTACATATATACCCAAAGAACTACAAATAGGAACTTAACTGAAACTTGTTAATGGCATTATTCACAAGAGCCAAAGGTAGAAACAATCAAATGCCTGTCGAAGGATGAGTACGTAAGCATGGTACAGTCACATGCAAGGAGATGTCCTGCAACCTTAGGAAGGAGTATGGGACTAGGTATAAGGCGCAGTGGTAGACATGACCCACCCTCAGCATGCACATGGCCCTGGGCTTCATCCCCTACCCAACAAGAACACGATTAAAAAATAAAACACCGGGGCCGGGGAGATGGCTCAGTAGAATAAGCGCTTCCCTGGCAAGCGCAAGGGTCCGAGTTCAATCCCCAGTTCTGCCAAAAATAAAAAAATAAAACACTGACACATGCTGCAACAAGAATGGAGACACTATGGCCACAAATGTGATTCTATTTGGTGAAGTGCCTGGCACAGTCAAATTCACTGAGATGGAGAGCAGAGCAGAGGTTACCAGGAGCTGGGGGAGGAGAGAGGAAGCCGCGGTCCGATAGGCACAGTGTTTCGACGTGAGCGATGACAGCACCCTGTGCAGGTGGCAGTCATGCTAAGGGTACTGAAAGCCCCTGAATCCTACAGTGAAAACCGCTAGGCCTCGTGGCACATGCCTGTGGCTGCACCTTGCTAGAAGGATGAGGCGGGAGGATCCCAAGTTCAAGCCTAGCCTGAACAACTTAGCAAGAGTGTTGCAATTTTTTTTTTAAATCAGACTAGGGATATAGCTTAGCAGCATAGTACCTGCCTGGCAAGCATAAGGCCCTGGGGTTGATTCTCAGTACAAAAAAAAAAAAAAAAAAAAAAAAAAATTTTTTTTTTAATTAAAAAGAACTGAGGATATTGCGCAGTGAGAAGGCCTGGGTGCAATCCCCAGCACCATAAATAAATGAATGAATGAAAGATAATGTATCTTACATATATTTTGCCACAATAATGTTTAAAACTAAAATTTTATTATATTTTATCCTAATTTTTCAAATGTGGATTCTCTTTCTAAAACATTTACACCTACAGCCAGCCACGGAAATTAGCTGGCTCCTCTCTGTTCCTGTCTCACCTGTTACAGACGTGAGAAATTCTACCTGTGACCAGGCATGTGATGGAGGGGAAAGCCAAAAGCAGATGGAGGGAGTCAGGGGGCCCGGAGACACTTGGGTCACTCAGACACGGCTTCCCTAGGCCCTCAGCAAAGAACAGTCTGATCACTCGTCGCCCCCAGCTGACGTTCCCATGCTCAGAAAATTAACTGTCCAGAGCACTGACTGACAAGCTACACCTAAAAGCGAATCTGCCACATGACCCCAACCAACCAGTTCCTCTGGTTTTGCTGCCCCACAGAAAGATGGGGCTTGCATCCAGCTGGCCGTTCCCCTCGGCTCCCCCACACTCCCCACTACTGTCTTCTTTCTGTCCACCTTGGAAATTTTGGAGATAGGTCTCAAAGTATCCCTGGAGAACAAAAGATTCTGCAGAAAGATGAGTCCAGAAATTACCCAGCAGAACAAATGGATGCCCTAGCACCTGAGAGGCAGGAGGATCTCTAGTTTAAAATCAGTCTGGGCTACAAGTCAGAGCCTGTCCCAAAAAATCAAAACAAGGAAAAGAAATGTACACCCCAGTGGGATCTCAGCATATCGTTTCATCTAAGGGTCAGTCTTTTTAACCCAAGAAATTTCTTGGGGGCCAAGCTGCAGCACTTCATAGGCTTGCAGAGCAAGTGAGTACCAGGCAGGTTGTGTGTGGGTGGGGAGAGAACGGGCAGGGTCATTATGCCCCAGAGCAGAACCGGAAGGCTGTGGAGCCGGCTCCTGGGGTCACTGTGCTTGCCCACCATACCCCCTGGCTCTGCCCTGCACACAAGCCCTGCCAAAGGGGAGCAGCGCAGACCCTTTGGACATACCCAAGGCATGCAGGCTCTCCCCCCAGGGTCTGGTGACCCCACTCTCTATGGGCTGGTGCTAAGCTGGCTCTCTCCTCCACCTGCACGTGGTTCACACTGCAAACAGTTTCAGGAAGAGGTTAAAATGGAAAAGACTTTCAGAAATCCAGGAAGAGGCTGACCGAATCCAAGGAATCCCAGGCAGAGGGCTGAGAACAGTGAACCAGGCAGAATAAGGGTCAAATAAAGGCACACAGTACCATAGTAGACCCCTTGATCTGAGGTTTTGCTTTCCTTGGTTTCAGTTAGCCTGAGTCCAAAAATACTAAATGAAGCCAGGCGTGGTGGCACACGCTTACATTCCCAGGACTCTGAGAGGCAGCAACAGGAGGATCAAAGCTCCAGCCCAACCTGGGCAACACTGTGAGACCCTGTCTCAAAATAAAAACGTCTGCTGATGCTGCTCAGCAAGAAGGCCCTCAGTTCAATCCCCAGTGCCAAGTAAGAGAGAGAGAGAGAAAATTCAATGAATAAGTAATTGATAAAATTTAGCTGGGTGTGCTGGTGCACTCCTATAATCCTAGCATTCGGAGGCAGAAGAATCACTACAAGTTTGAGGTCTGCCTGGGCCACATTGTGCGTTTAAGACCAGCTTGAATTAAATAGTATGCCTCTGTCTAAAAGAAAAAAAAAAAATTAGGACAGCATATAACTATTGTATTTTATAATTAGTTATTGTTATCAATCTCTCATTGTGTCTAGCCCATAAATTATTCATAATGGTAATGCCCATAGAGCAAAAAGCATACGATAGATATGGCCCAGTACTAGCCACAGTTTCAGGCATACACTGGGGTCTTGGAACCTGTCTTCTAGGATCAAGGGGACTATAGTATCAATGATAAACAAAAGCCTCCTTTTTCATAGTTCAGAAGTCATCCTGTCCCTCAGTAGAGTGGTGGAAGGAACAGCTCTTCCCTGGTATCTTGGGGACCATTTGCTTGATAACTGATTGGACACAGGCCTCACTGTACATAAGCCACCCCAGACCAAGCCCACACAGCTTGGACCATCAAGCAAGTCACCAGACAGGAGGACACACCAGTGCTGGAAATGGGCTGGGCCCTTTCAGGCTTGCAAGGCCAAACGCGAGTCTGCAGAGGACCTGTGACCAGCTGCTAGCAGGGTCCAGGCTGCATGCGGCAGCCCCAGCAGGGACATACCTGCAGCTCTCCGGAAGGCGTCCACGGCATTCTCCAGCCCAGCTTGAGTCTGCCGATTGCACCGGGTCCCGATCTGGGTATAGAGGGCTCCGATGTTGAACAGGATGCTGGCCTTCTCTAGCAGCAGGTTCTGTTGGCTGACCGGAACCCCAGTGAGGGAGTCATACCTATTTAAAAGAAATGTGCTCTGAGAAAACTGGGTTATGTGGTTAGTTAATGCCACTTTGGATGAACTTAGACAAAACATATTCCTTAAATAAAATCCAAAGATACACATGCAATGAGACTTTTGTTGCCAAGCAAGATGGCAGGTCTGATGAGCCAGATTAAAGACTTACCACAGTCCCACACAAGAATAAGGCCTCTCAGCTGGCTATTGGTGAATACCTGTAATCTCAGCACTCTGGGAAGCTGAGGCAGGAAGATGGAAAGGTCAATCATGGCTTAGGAAACTGAGAGACTTTAGCAAGACCTTCACTCAGAATTAAAACTTGGAATAGTTCAGCGCAAAGGCCCTAGGTTAAATCCCCAGTCCCGTTGGGGGGAAAAAGGCCTCTTAACCAAGATGTCCCTCAGCAAGTGTGGCACCTCCAGGGGACCGAATAGAAGCCAGCACTAAAAAGAAACAAGCTGGCAAGCCATGAAAAGGCATGGAGGAAACAAATGTTATTGCTAAGTGAAAAAAGCTATCTACCACTTGATTCCAACCGTGTGACGTTCCAGACGGGCAACGCCATGGGGACAGTGAGAGGATCAGCAGCTGCTAGGAAATGAAGAGGAGGGCAGGACCAAGAGGGTTTGAAGGGCAGTGACACCATCCTGCAAGTTACTACAATCAGGAAGGTGTGTCTTTTTGCATTCATCAAAACCCAGACAGTATTCAACACCCAGAGGAAACCTACCAAACTATGGACTCTGGGTGATAAAGGCGTGTCAAGGTGTGTTCATCCTTTGTGACAACCAACCTTGGTGGCAAGAGCACCAAACATCTTCAGAGAGAGGGGGATATAGAACTCCATGCTTGTGCTCAACTGGCTGTGAACCTTAAACTGCTCGTCAAAAAGGAAGCTTATTACACCTTCTCCTATGTGAAATTTAGCAATTATTAACCCCTATAATTCTTGCTGAAGTCTAAGATCCAGGATTATTAAACTCATGCTTTAATCCAAATGGCAAGCAGGAAGCATCTTCATGGCTAAAGATGATAGGGAAACCACCTTCCCTGTCACCTCAACGACGGGTGCACTGGGTTTCTGCACAAAGGCCCTGCATCTCCTTCCCAAAACAGAAGGCCTCGGGAGCTGTCCCTGTGCTGCAGTAAAGCTCACTCCTGCAAATGCACCTCAGCTCTGATGAAGAATTCCTCCTTTCCACCCACACCCCTAAACTCTCAGAGAAGAGATGAAGCACCTCCCAACTATACTAACCTTTGACAATACCAACTCTGGAAAGGAATCAAAGGTTCTGCTTCAGGTTTTAAAATCTGTATTTGCTGTATTGGCACAAAACCCAAATCTCACTCACACGCCATAGCCCTGTCACAGCTAGGGGGAGACTTGCTCCCCCTGGCTCAACTTTAGCACTCCAGTATCTCCCCACTGACAGAATGAACCTCCCCCAAGAGAAACTCCTCTGCTTGGCTCCCCTGTTGTGAGACACAAGCAGCTCCAGTCTGTTTGAGCCCTACTTATGATCCCGCCATTGATAGCCACCTGCTGACACACCCCATCCCACTGCTGTATAAACACCAAAGGAGGGGGTGCAACAGATGTAGGCAGATCAGGACCCAGGAAAGCACCTGCACAGACCTCAGGCACCTACCAGGTAAACAACAGCCCCATGTGGCAGCTGGGCGGGAAGAAACGGCTCTCTACAAAGCCCAGCTGGATGAAGTAGCCCATCAGCAGCTCGACCCCCGCCTCATCCCGGCTGGGTGTCCGACAAGCCTGGAGGGAAGACACAGGCAGAGGCATGAGCACGACAGGACATGCTGACCACCATGCGCAGCACACAGGAATGGGTGCTTCTCAGTGTCCCAGCTCTGTGGGCTCTGCTGCCAGTATCATGAACTCGGGAGGGGCACAAAGGACCTGAGAGGAAGTCAGGAATCCCGGGATCCACCCTGGGCTAAAGGACCAGCAGCCACCCTCCCAGCTCTGCACATAAAACTTACCTGTCTCAGATCCATCAGATCTGCAATTTCATCTTCATACAAATAACCATCTTCACTGTAATGTTCCAGGATAAAATCCTTGAAGAGAAATGATCAGGTACTGTAAGATAGGACCTAAGAGCCCCAAGGTACCACGCCATGGTAGGGCACCCGCTCTAACGCACAAGGCCTTCCTTCCAGACCCAGCACCAAAAACCAAACCAAACAGAAGGAAAGATAGAGAATGTAATTCATGAGTCTGGCTTGGCCTACTGCCAGCACTTAGCAAGGCTAAGTCCAAAGTCTCTGGAAATGATTCCCAGAGACTTTGGGAATCTGAAGACTATGAGCCCAGCCTGGACAACTTAGTAAGACCCTAACTCACAAATAAAAATTGCAGATATACTTCAGCGTCAAAGGCCTGAGGCAAATATACCTTCCTTACACACACGTGCACACACATGCTACAGAGAACTGTATGAGAGACTGTATACAGTAGCAGGCCCCACTTACTAGAGAAACAGATTTACAACTATCACACATATAGTCATGATTTCCTGGTACATGGATTTATTTTTTGATTTTGCTTATGTTTTTATATGTTGCCATCTGTTCTCTGTAAAATACTGAAATTAGGGCTTGGGAGATAGCTCAGTGAAATAAGTGCTTAATTGGCAAGCACAAGATCCTAAGTCTGATCCCTAGTACCACCAAAAAAAAAAAAAAAAGGGCAAAAAAAAAAAGTTAAAATACTGAAATTATTTTTTTTTTATTTTAAAATACCTTGATAACATAAACCACTGCTGGCAGGTATTACAGATATTTAAGGGCTCGGACCTTCAATCTTTGGGCTCACTCAGACCATAGGTGCAGGAGCCGCAGATACAGGAAATCTGTGTCTGGGGACGAGATGTGCTCCCTTAAGGTCCATGCTGGCACCTTTGGGAGGGCAGCTCTGGCAGTTCCAGAAAGAACTTTCCCGTGAGAGAAACTCCTAACCCCTAGCTGGGTCCATAAAAATCCAATAATGGACAACTGCCCTGAGTTCGCTCAGTCATTCAGTAAACACTGACAGGCACTTGCCATGTGCTAGGCAGGCTGCGCAAAGATCATTCCTCCCTCCCCATTAGAACTCACATTCTCACAACAGGAGACAACAACACTAACAAAGAAGTAAACTGTGTGGTATAAAGTAGCCTTTATCCAAATGCATAGGATCATTAGTGTTTCTAGTGTCAGGCTTTTTCTTCTTCAGACTTGGAAATATTTGCATATACATAATAAGATATGGTGGGGCTGGTGAGATGGCTCAGTGGTCTAAAGCACCTACTTAGAACAAGCTTAGCAAAGCACAGGGACCATGGTTCAATCCCCCAGCACCACATGCCAGACAGCCCCGCCCCCTGGTGGGCTGAGCTGGCCAGACACACACACACACACACACACAATTAAATAAAAATTAAAATAATAATAATAATAATAAGATATGGGACCCAAGTTAAACACAAAATTGAAGTATCTTTCATATACATCTTATACATATAGCCTGAAGGTAATATTATACTATTTTTGGTTCTGGGTATTCAACCCAGGTCCTGCACACTGAGCTGTGGTCCTCAATCATCACTGTCTCCTTCTCTTCCCCCTTCCCCTCCTCCTCCTCCCGTCCCACTTCAACTTGACAAATTGCTAAGGCTGGGCTCACACTAGCAATCCCCCTGCTTCAGCCTCCCAGAGTGCTGGGATCATAGGCGTGCACTACCACCTCTGGCTTATTCATTATTTCAAATAACCGAGTACATGAAACAAAGTTTCTAGGTGTGGAATTTTCTACCTGCAGTATCTGGTATCCCGTTGGCCCTCTAAAAGTTATAAAATGAGAAGTATTTCAGATTTTCCGATTAGGGACACTACATTTGTATTGGAAGATGGCAAGTGTTAACAGGAAAAAAATCAGAGTAATGGAAGGGGCACAGGGAACTCCCAACAGAGCACTGTCCTCCAGTGCTAGCCAGTCAGGTCCATTTCCCAGGCAACTAACTGTACATATTCGCCTTACCTGCTTTTTGTGTCATTCAGTGCATACCAGTGCATGCACACAACACCACTCTAGTATACCCTACAAACGAGTATGTACTGAATAACACAAGGTTATGCCCTTCCTTAAACTTGGCAAAGTATCAGATGTTTTCATATGCCATAAAATATTCTATAACACGACACTTACGCATTCTATAATCTTTCAGTGTAAGGAGTGCAAATTTTGTGCATTCAATAAGCCAATCACCTGCCATGTATTCAACCGTAATGAGATTTTACTTAACTTCCACTTGATAAGACCCCAAAATCGTTTCCCAGGTTTTTAATAGCCTGACAACCATCCTTGGGTGCCCCTCTGATCAATTCCTTAAAATGAATCCCTAACAGATGTCTTGTGAGTCTGAGGACATGCAGAAGTTTCCTTAAATTTTAATTTTAAAATATACTTCGTAATTTGACCATTTTTAGACAACCCCAGTGAGGCTATGTTGCCAAGACTGGTCGCTCACTGTGCACTCAAGCCGCACCCACAGGCAGGTGCCACCACACGGCACACAGTGCCCTGCTGCCTTCTATTGTCGCACATTTTCTTCCTGACTCTAAGCAATGACTGAAGTCAGCTCCCTGATACTACAATGGCCATCTGTACAACTGGGAATGGTTTTCAAATACTGCATCAATAAGGTCAGCAAAGGCGAGGATGGTCAGCAGGGCAAAGCTCATCTTGGGCTCCCCGGCTGACACCCCAGAGCCAGAACTGGGGGCCACCTTCTCCCTCACCCAGCACTGCACCCCGCGGACCTCCACTGTGGGCACCAGCAACACCCTTCGTAAAAGGAGAGCGACTACACATAAGAAGTCCAAAGAGGGGCCAGCCTGATAGCTCAGCAGACTAAAGCACCTGCTTAGGCAGAGCACCGTGGCTAGGGTTCCACTGCCAGCCTGCTGGGCCGGCCCCGCTGAGACGGCCATTGAGACCGAGCATGCTTATAATCCCAGCACTCATAAAACTCAAAGACAATGCTGACAAAACACAAACGTGAAGTCAGGTGTGACAGCACGCACCTTTGATCCCAGCGCTGTGGGGGCTGTGACACATCACAAGTCCAAGCCAAATCTGGGCGATTTAGCAATTTAGCAGAATCTGGGCCCCAAAACCTAATAACTATATAAAAAATAAATACGATCCGGTTCCGGTTCTCAGACTGAATTGGCGGCTCGCCCATTCTCGGGCTGGGAGGCCTGTGTGCCGGACCTGGCCCAGGATGGACAGCCGGATTCCTTATGATGACTACCCAGTGGTTTTCCTGCCTGCCTATGAGAATCCCCCAGCATGGATTCCACCACATGAGAGAGTATACCACCCAGACTACAACAATGAGTTGACCCAGTTTCTACCCCGAATTGTCACACTTAAGAAGCCTCCTGGAGCTCAGTTGGGATTTAACATCCGAGGAGGAAAGCCTTCACAGCTAGGCATCTTCATTTCCAAGGTGATTCCTGATTCTGATGCACATCGAGCAGGACTTCAAGAAGGGGACCAAGTTCTGGCTGTGAATGATGTGGATTTCCAAGATATTGAGCACAGCAAGGCTGTTGAAATCCTGAAGACAGCCCGTGAAATCAGCATGTGTGTGCGCTTCTTTCCCTACAATTATCATCGCCAAAAAGAGAGGACTGTGCACTAGAGAGTTTCAGCTCACTAGCCAGGTGCAGCACAAGCCGGCTGGGCCCCAAGAAAGCCACATCGGAAATTCTTTTCTCAGCCCTTTTCTGGCATAATGGGGGAGAGGACACAGAGACCTAGGAACCAACTGCATTACCCACACTGTACTGTCTTTTCAGTTCCCTAGTTTTCTAGATGAGCTTTGTTGCCTGAAAGGAGAAGGATGATGAGGGCTAGGATAAGCTTAGCCTGTAGAGAACAACTAGAAAAGGTAACTGGCATTTACTACATACCATAGGCTAGATGCTTACCCAGATTAATATTTTCATTATAAAAATAAGAGAAAGTAAAAGAATCTTCTGCTTTTCCAGCCATCACATCCCATCCTTATATTACTGGAAGCTTCATATATACTTTGGGGACTGCAATGACACTATTTTTGCCCCTTCTCTATCCTTTCCCCTAAAAAGTTAAACACAATGAGATAAATGTGACTTTTCTTTTCTTTCTTTTTTTAATTTTTTTCCATAATTTTATTGATAAACAAATAGCAATGAGACAGTTTCAAATCAAATTGGTAGGACAGTTTCAAGTGACTTTTCAATGGTAATGATTGAACATAACGTGCTCTTGAAACAAGAAAAAGCTCTTCTGAAGAGAGAAGTCAGTGGAAAAAAATAACAGTATCTTGCCTATTATGATTCGTGTCAGATGTCCCCCATTCCTTATGCAGTATGGACTTTTTCATAGGTGGCCGAATCTGGAATGTGTGATAATGGGATTAAGGGTGTGTGATTGGTAAATCAGCCCACTGACTGCTTTGGCATACTTGCAGCTAAAACTAAGAGGGTGAGTGCTGTTCCCACCCTGTGGCATGTAGACTGCATACAATATAAGGGACAGAAAAGCTTGTTGCTTTGCTACCTTTGGGCTACCATGAAAAGCTCCCTCTGTTACTACTTGTGCTGTCTTCCACCACCATGAACTGTTGCCCCTCTTCCATGTGCCAACCTGCCTTTTGCAGCCAACCAATTAAGGACTGGAACCTGTATATAAACTGAGCTAAATAAACTTTTCCCTTGTAAAAATAAATAAATAAATAAATAAATAAATAAATAAATACATTCTGATTTTCTGAAGCTCAGTATACTAGGATGGATTAAATGTACTAAGGAGTGCCAGACACTGTGGCATAGTCCTGTAACGCCAGCACTTAAAAGGCTGAGGCAAGCAGTCATCACAAGTTCAAGGCCAGCCTGCACTACATGGCAAGACCCTGTCTCAAAAGAAAGCAATTTTTTTTTTATTCAAGGGTATTGAAGTAGCAGGACCGTTGCAAGTTCAAAACCAGTCTGGGCTGCACAGTAAGTTCATGGGCAGCCTGAACTAATAC